GGTAATTTCACAGGTAGAAGGAATATATATATATATACATACATACATATATATATATATATATATATATATGTATATCCACACATACATACATACATACATGCATACATACATACATGCATGCATGCATGCATGCATGCATGCATGCATGCAGACAGACAGACAGACAGACAGACAGACAGACAGACAGACAGACAGACAGACAGACAGACAGACAGACAGACAGACACACACACACACACATCCATACATACATACATCCATCCATCCATCCATCCATCCATACATACATACATACATACATACATACACAGACATACCTACATACATACATACATACATACATACATACATACATACATACATACATACATACATACATACATACATGCATACATACATACATACATACATACAAACATGCCTGCATACATACATACATTCATGCATGCATGCATGCATACAGACATACAGACATACAGGCATACAGACATACAGGCACACATACATACATACACACATGTATGGAAAGGTTGCGCGGCAAAGCTGCAAGGGCTTCGAGCGCCCATGCCGAGGATCTTCGAGCGGGGCTGGCCGGGGGGAGAGGCTTCGACTTGGAATCGGCGATGCACCGCCGACACGTCGGCGGCAGGCCCCCGATGGCAGCAACACGCGCTCCCTGGGCGGCGCGGGACACCCCGGCCGCGATGGGCGACGAGGGGGCGATTGGGGACGCGCCCGCTGCCGGGGGGCAGCCCGGGCCGACGCACGCGGTGCGGAGCTGACTACCTACCAAACAACCCCAACCCAACCCGAAAACCCGAATTTCGGGTTGGGGGGGGGGTACGGGCTTCATGTGTGTTTTCTCAACGTTCCCCGACCCCCCCCCCACTGGAAATGGAGGGCAAATTGGGGCCTTCGGGTTGGGTTGGGGTGGTTTGGTGGGCGGTGCGGAGCGGAGGGAGAACCACGGGCGAGAGGCCAGGCGCGAGGTTGACACGCTGAGGCGGAGAGACAGAACCAGCAGCCCGCTGCTTCGAGCGGCGCGGAGAGGCACGGGGTAGGTGGGCCTTGTGGACAGGCTGCCCCAGCCCGCGTCGCTGGAAGGCACGGGCTAGATAGGCCTCATTGATCGGAGGCTCCAGCCCCAGTCGAAGAGGCGAAGCTAGCAACCCACTGCTTTGAACAGGGTTGCAAAGCAAGCGGTAGACGGGCCTCCTGGATGTGCGGCCCCAACATGCTGTGGAACGCCGCGGGGCTGGAGGCGACTCGTGCAGAGCCGCCGTCGGAGCTGCAGGGGCTGCCGCCGTAGTCGTCGTCAGACCTTGGGGCAAGGCCGCCGATGGGGCCGCCATGGTGCCCAGGATGGCAGCTGTCGGCGACCCACTGCCCGAACCGCACTCGCCGCCGCACCAACGGCTGCAGAGCCCATCCTGTAGGCGCCTTCGCCCGCAGCGCAGCCTCCACGCTCCCAAACGTACTCGGGGTGTCCTGCAGCCGCGCGCGAGGCGGCTGCCGCGACGCCTTCCGCAGCACAGGCGGCGGTGCACCTGGGGCCCTCTGGCGCGTAGCCCCCCTTCCCGGCCGTGGCCCGCCTCAGCGCCAGAAGCTGCGAGGGCTCTTCGTGGGCGGCGGCGGCAGGACGGGCACGTGGCCTCCGTGGCGCAGGGCCCTGCCCGCGGAGCCGGCGAGGCACGCGCGCCCCGTGGGGCGGAAGCACGCGCCGACCTGCGGCGGCGGTGGGCGGGCGGCCGCCGGCCGCGCAGCCCGCGCCACGTCGTGCGCCTGCGCGGCAGCGCGCGTGCGCGCTGCCACGCAGGCGCACGCGCGGAGCAGGGGGAGGGGAGGAGGAGGAGGAGGAGGAGGAGGAGGAGGAGGAGAGAGGAGGAGGAGGAGGAGGAGGAGAGGAGAGGAGGGAGGAGGAGGAGGAGGAGGAGGAGGAGGAGGAGGAGGGAGGAGGAGCGCCGGCAGGCTCTCGGGCTGCGTCGCGGACGGCCCGAAGGCGGCAGCCGCGCAGGAGGCCGGCCCGCGGAGCGGGCCCGCAGCTGCGGCCCTCGTGCGGCCACGGGGCAGGGGCAGGCATGGGGCGGAGGAGTTTCCCGGGCCAGGGCGCGCCGCGGCCACGAAGAGGGCCCCAAGGGCCAAAATCTGAGGAGCGGCCCGAAGACCAAAGCAACCCTTTGGACCCAGACCGCTTCGAGTAGCGAAAAAATCCTTACGGGAGGTTTTTCCTAATTGTCGGCCTCTGGGGGCCCTCACTGGGCCTCGGGAGCGTCGCAAAACAACTCAGGATGCAAAGCCGGTCATAAGGAAAGGGTCGGGACCTCTGGGGGTCGACGTACCGAAAAATCATTACGTCGGGGGTCTGGAGTGCACGGTGTTGGGTTCCCCGCGCCCCCGTGGAACGAGCGGCATCCAGGGCTCCCACGGGGTCGGTGGTGCGGTGCAGGCTGATACATCTAAGAAAACGTTGTTTATCTTCGGCGATGGCGGGCGTCATGGGGGGGGGGGCGAGGGGGGTATGACGTAACGTCCCCCCCCCCCTGCCGTGTGGCTCCGGCACCACAGCCGCGTCCGCGCGCACGACGCGACGAGCGACAAGCGACGACGATGACGACGACGACGCGACCAGCATGTAGGTGGCGATCTGCCCCCCTGCGCCTGTGTACACCACAACGCTCGCGTGCACCACAGCGCGCGTGTACACCACAGCGCCTGCGTACATCGCAACAACCGTGTGCAACGCAGCGCCTGTGTACACTGCAGTGCCGCCTGTGTACACTGCAGTGCTTGCGTACACTACAGCGCCAGTGTACATGTGCACACCGAAAGCAACCATGTGCAACACAGCGTCTGTGTACACCATAGTGATTGCGTGCACCGCGGTGCCTGTGCACGCCACAGCGCCTGCCTACACCACAGCATCCGCGTGCAACGCAGCGCTATTGTACACCACTGTGCCTGCGTGCGTGGGACAAGTAAAAAGAGCCTGTACGTGAGGATCTGCTGCGGAAGCGCCACGCCAGGAATACGCGGATAATCGAACGCGACGATTTTCCCTCTTCCCTTCTCCTCCACTTCCACCTCCTCCTCCTTTTTTTTTCCTCCTCCTCCTCGTTGCCCCCTGTCGCGCGGGTTAGCGTTACAGCGCACGTACGCAACTCAGCGTGCACCGCAGAATGGTCGATTGAATCGGCCCACTTGGTTCTCGGACGGCCAATTTAGCTGGAGGCTCCTGGACGCAGAAGGGAGGAATTATGGTGATGCGGACGAACTCGGAAAGACTCGCAGATTTCCGTGGCGCTCCATTGTCCATAAGGATTAGTTTCTGGTGTTTTCGGTGGAATCCACAAGCGTTCCATTTCGCCATAATGATTCCTTCAAACACTCTACATACAACAGTGGTGTTGTGTTGCACGCGGTTGCTGTGGTGCACACGAGCGCCGTGGTGCACACAGGCACTGCAATGTACGCAGGCATTGTGGTGTACACTGCTGTGTTGCACACGGCTGATGTGGTGTGCGCAAACGCTGTGGTGTACACAAGAGATGTTGTGCCCGCGCGCGCGGTGAAACAAACTGACGCTGTGTTGCACGCGGCTGCTATGGTGTACATAGGCGGTGTGGTGTACACAGGCGCTGTGGTGCACGCAGGCACTGAGGTGTACACAGGCGTTGTGGTGCAGATCGCCACCTACACGCTGGTGCCACCCGTCCTCCGTCATTCCTAAGCATTCCCAGGCGCCGCCGGCGCGAAGCGTGACGTCATCGACCCCCTCCCCCTCCCCAGATGATTGCCGTCATCGGCCCGAAAAAAAAGGAAAAAAAAAGGCTCCAGCCGCGTCCGCGCGCACGACGACGATGAGCGACGAGCGACGAGCGACGAGCCGCGAGCCACGAGCCACGAGCGACGACGACGACGACGACGACGACGACGACGACGACGACGACGACGACGACGACGACGACGACGACGACGACGACGACGACTGCGGACCAGATTCCTATGCGGATTCCTACGCGGACACCTACGCGGATCCCAATACGCACGGCGGCAGTGCCCGGAGCGCACTGGGGGGGGGGGGTGAGCGTTACGTCATAGGGGGGGGTGGGCGGCGGGGGCCGTGACGCCCGTCATGCCCCAAGCACTGAAAAGAAGTGGTCTCCAAGGAGCGGCCCGAGAAGACCGCAGCAGCTCCCGCGCCCAAAGTCGACCTTGCTCCAGCGTCTCGACGGCACGTGTGGGTGGGGGGCCCGCGCGCCCAGAGCGGCAGCGGTGGGGGGGGGGTCAGGAGGCTCGGCCCCTGCTGGAGGCAGGCGGGAGGAAGGCGAGGAGTTGGAAGGCGGGAGGGAGCAGCAGCAGATGGTAGGGGCAGAGGGCGGGGAGCGGGAGCGGGAGGGGGATTATCACAGGAGGCGGGCGAGGAAAGGGATGAGGGATCAGGGGTGACCGCCGCCGCTGAAGGATGAGCATGAGGAAGCGGCGGATGAGGACGACGACGAGGTCGGAGGAGCTGCGAGGTGGGAGGATCGGGGAGATGCGACCTGGTGGGGGTGGGCGGAGGAGGGGAGGAAGAGGGGGAGGATGGGCGCGGAGCCGCAGGAGGTGGCATCTCCCAGGAGGCGAAGACGGGGTACCGGAGATCAGGGAGAGTCGCCTCCGCTGGAAGAAGAGAAGGGGGAGGACAACGACGACGAAAGGGGTCGGGGAGACGGATCGCCCCTGCTGGAGGACGAGGAGGAAGGTGATTCGGCCCCGCCCTGGAGTGGGAGGACGAGACGAGGTGGTGGCGATGAGAAGTGAAGGAGGAGGGCGACCACGACGGGCGGGAAAAGGAAATGGAAGAGGAGGACAACGACGAGGCAGTGGGAGGTGGAAAGAAGCAGGGGGGGGGCGGCAGGGTGTCGGATGCCGCTGCGGCTTCGGTCGCCCTGCACTCCACGTGTTCTGCACGTCATCCACCAGCGCGGGGGGCAGGCGGAGTTCCTCGGCGGGGAGGACGGGAAGAGAAATGGATTGACTGGAGGAGCAGATGAGGACGAGGAGGACGACGCTAACGGGGAACGAGGGGGACTAGAGGGGCAATAAGAAGGGGAGGGAAGGAGGAGGAGGAAGAGGAGGAGGAGCGAGAAGAAGAGGAAGCCGAGAAGGTGGAGGAGGAACGGTGGGGCGGGATGAGCGAAAGAGAAGGAGGACGAGGATGAAGGAGGCGGACAGGACGGGGAGGAAGAAGAGGGGAGAGGAGACAGAGGAGGGCATAGGGGAAGCGTGAGAACGGGGAGGACACGAAGGAAGGGAGGGGAGGAAAAGAAAGATGGGGGAGCAGAAATGCGAGCAGGAGGCGGGGTGCGGGCGAGATTGATGCGCGTCTCCTCGAAGATCTGGTCGTTCACTTCCTTCGCGTTGTACAGGCACTTGCCGTCGACGCCAATTTGAGCTGCATCCTGTCATCACTGCAACTACACGCTTCGCGATGTCCCTTCCTGCGCCCCGTCCTCCACATCCTCCTCCTCATGCGTATGCTCCCGCTTGGGGCAGTCGGGAATGTTGGCGCTGCCCTACTGTGTTCCTCCTCCTCCTCCTCTTCAGCCTTATCCATCATATCCTCTCCCCTCGCGTTCTTCCCTGCTGTTTACTGCACTTCAATTTCGCACCACCATCTGCAGCGGTATGGTGGTCTGGGCAATTCGTCTGAAACTGAATCACATGCGCTGCTCCTGACCTCCAGATTGAGAGTGTGCGTGTGTCGCTATTTTGCTTGAAGTCAGGTGAACGTCGACATGGAATGCCTCTTAGAGACAGTATTGTTAAGTCATGTGCCATACCATGACAGCTAAAGCTGGTAATCGGTTGGATGTCGGTTCCTTTCCAGAATCGAGAGCTCGCCTAGGACTGATCAATCGTTCAGTATGACCCGTGTTGGGCGTTCCGACTAGAACAGAGATGGAGAGTGGCTCATGTTTAAAACCGAGCTCCCGCCTCCAACTGCCTGGCATGTCCCAGAACTTGCCATGGCATTTGCACGCCAAGGTGTCGGCTTCTTTGCGACATCGCGCTCTCGCTTCGGTCATGCATTCTTCTAGTCAACATGGGTGGACGGCAAATTCCCTGTCAATCTCACCACACCAATCGACGTTAGGCCGTCGTGTCTCAGTCGAAACATCTGCAGTGGCCGATCATCTACACTAGAGCCCTCCTAGGTAATGAATAAACCTATGGACCTATGGGGCCGTCATGTTTCAATCGGGCACCCGAGAAGGACAGGTGCTAGTCGGAAAGGCGTGATGCAACGTCAGTGCGGTGCTTTGTTCGCGATCCTCACAATCCTCCTCCCACATTGATGTCAACCGATCTCCTCCACATTCTCCGCAGACCGCACCCACCTGATCTTCCTCATCATCCAGCGTGCCTTTTCCACCCTTGCATACCCTAAGCAGCTGAGCCCCATAGATTACCTCAACACATCCGAAGCCCCCATGGAACCATCATCCTGCATCCTCCTCCTCCTCCTCCTCCTGCTCCTCCTCCTCCTCCTCCTCCTCCTCCTCATGTTCATCATCGTCATCCTCACCATCATGATCATCATCATCATCCCCACCATCATCAGTATCACCATCATCACCGTCACCATCACCATCACCATCACTATCATCGTCAGCAGCAGCATCGTGTTCATCATCATCATCATCATCATCATCATCATCATCATCATCATCATCATCAGCATCATCATCATCATCATCATCATCATCATCATCATCATCATCATCAAACTCATCATCAAAATCATCATCATCATCGTAAGCATCATCATCGGCATCCCGTCATCAACAAACTCATGACACTCGTCGTCGTCATCATCATCATCATCATCATCATCAGCATCAGCATCATCATCATCATCGCGAGTCCCCCCATCACTGTCAACGTCATCGCCATCATCAGTATCATACTATGCATCATCATCAGCATCATCGTAGTATTCGTCATCATCATTATCATCATCACATCATCACCATCATCATGATCGTCGTCGTCTTCATCATCAGCATCACCACCATCACCAACACCATCACCATCATCACCCTCATCAGCATTAGCATCATCATCACCATCAACAACATCATCAACATCATCATCAGCAGCATCATCAGTATTGTCATCAGCATCATCATCATCATCATCATCATCATCATCATCATCATCATCATCATCATCATCATCATCATCGTCATCGTCATCATCGTCATCATCGTCATCATCGTCATCGTCGTCATCAGCAGCAGCAGCAGTCGCATCTCTCCTCCTCATGCCTCCTCCTCCTCCTTCTCCTCACTCCCCCCTCCCCCTTACTTCCCTCGAACCCCCGAGGGCAGGGGAAAAGGCGATGCGGGAGGACGAACGGGTGCGGGAGAGGGGGGGCAAGATAGCTAGCAATGAGGAGAAAAGGGAGCGACATTACCATGAACCAGGATCGTCATCTGAGCAACGCGCCAACGGCAGGCAATCGCCTGATGAGCAGGAAGGGAAGAACGGGGAACAGATCAACTGCATCCATGAACCCTGATGAGCCAGTAGAGAGGACAAACATTCGGCAAGCTCAGACGCAAGAGCGGAACAATCGAATCTGGCTCGAGTAGACACACCCACACACATACACACGTGCCACAAAACAATCAAAAGTATCGGGTGTGCGAACAACAATATGCAGAAGAAACGGGTATCATGACTAGCGCGCGGTTGGGAGAGAAGTGGTCGAACTGAGCCACTGAAGGGATAATTATGGAAACGAGACGAGGGGGCGGGGAGTGTGGGAGGTCCCGGGCAAGACAACGCAATGCCCGCCACAGCCTGGCACGCAGCCTAGCACAGTCTGGCACGCAGCGCCCGCCCCTCCCGCAGTGCTGCGACTCCCCTGCTTGCCCCTCCCCCCCCCCCTCGGTGCTCCTCTGCGACCTCGGCCTCGCCCTGGTCGCCGTCCCCTGGCGGTGGCCCCCCCGCCCCTCGTGAAGACACCAGGGGAGAGGGGCCAACGAGGCCGTCAGGCAGCCCCATGGTCATGCCCAACGGCAGCCCGACACACAGAGAGAAAAGAGGACCGCGTGTGCACATCGCACCAATCCCGGCCAGGCCCACCCAGGGCCCAGGATCGTGGCCGACGCCCCCCTGGCCTTGTGGCCTGCGAGGCATGCGCACCAATCCCGGGCCCAGGAGGGGCCCAGGCCCAATCCTGGCCAGGCCCACCCATCCTGGCCAGGCCCACCCAGGGCCCAGGATCGTGGCCGACGCCCCCCTGGCCTTGTGGCCTGCGAGGCATGCGCACCGATCCCGGGCCCAGGAGCGGCCCGGCCAGGATCGGCGCCGCGTGCCTCCGGCCAGCCCGCTTCGCCCGACGGGGGGGCGCACGCGAGCGGGGAGGGCCTCCCGGCGCCCGCCCGCTCGGGAGCGGGGGGGGGGGGGGGGGGCGCGCGAGGGCGTCGGGGCCCCCTCCGTGCTCTGCACCCCCCCCCCCTCCGTGGGGCGCCGACCCTGGCGATCCAGCTCGGCCGGGGGGGGGCTTCCGCGGGCGCCCAGATCGAGCTGGCCCCTCGTCCGGCGGGGGGCGGGGGAGCGGGCAAACCGCTCCGCCGCCGAGGGGCGCCCGCCCCAGGGCGGGCGGGAGGCCCGGTGCCCTCCGCGGCGGCACGTCGGGGCCAAAGCTTCCCCGGACGCCCTGGCCTGGACGCCCTCCAGTGGCGCAGCAGCAGATCCTGCACCGTCTCGATCTGCCTTCCGCACGCGAGCCCCCGGACCCCAGGCACCCCCAGACCCCGGGCGTCGTGGCTTCTGCCCAACGAGGGGCCCCCCCTCGGAGGTCTCGGACCCCCTCTCGGGAACAGACGCTTCTCCCGAGTCGTCTCTTGACGGTCCCGGGGCGGGGCAGCGGGGGGCCCGAGAGCCGACAGCCTCTGAAACAAAAGCATCGCAGTGTTTAGCCACGCGATGGGAAACTGGCCTCCTCCTCCTCCTCCTCCCTCCTCCTCCTCCTCCTCCTCCTCCTCCCCTCCTCCCCCCTCCTCCTCCTCCTCCCTCCCTCCCTCCCTCCCTCCCTCCCTCCCTCCCTCCCTCCCTCCCTCCCTCCCTCCCTCCCTCCTCCCTGCCTCCCTGCCTCCCTGCCTCCCTGCCTCCCTCCCTCCCTCCCTCCCTCCCTCCCTCCCTCCCTCCCTCCCCCCTCCCTCCCCCTCCCTCCCCTCCCTCCCTCCTCCTCCTCCTCCTCCTCCTCCTCCTCCTCCTCCTCCTCCTCCTCCTCCTCCTCCTCCTCCTCCTCCTCCTCCTCCTCCTCCTCCTCCTCCTCCTCCTCCTCCTCCTCCTCCTCCTCCTCCTCCCTTCCCTCCCTTCCCTCCCTCCCTCCCTCCCTCCCTCCCCTCCTCCCTCCCCTCCCTCCCTCCCTCCCTCCCTCCCTCCCTCCCTCCCTCCCTCCCTCCCTCCCCCGTCCCTCCCTCCTCCCTCCTCCCTCCTCCCTCCTCCCTCCTCCCTCCTCCTCCTCCTCCCCCCCTCCCTCCTCCCCCCTCCTCCTCCTCCCTCCTCCTCCCTCCTCCCTCCTCCTCCCTCCTCCCCTCCTCCCTCCCTCCCTCCCTCCTCCCTCCCTCCCTCCCTCCCCCTCCCTCCCTCCCTTTTTCCTTCCTCCTTCTCCTTCTCCTTGCCCTCTGGTCGGTTTTTACTCTGCCTCCCGCGGGTCTTCGCGAGAAGGCCGCGGGGGGCCAGCGCCTGGCCTTCGCCCTCCTCGCCCTCGTCCTCGAGGCCCTCGTCGTCCTCGAGCTCCTCGTCCTCCTCCTCGTGGCGATCCTGGGCCGCGGCGGGGCGCAGGACGGGCGGAGAGAGCTGACACAGGAGGGCGAGGATGAGGAGGAGGAGGAGGAGGAGGAGGAGGAGGAGGATGAGGAGGAGGAGGAGGAGGAGGAAAACAGGAGGGAGATTCGCTGCCCAGGCGGCAAGGGGTCCAGAAATATTCAGACCCGTAAAAGTTTCGATTAAGCATTTGTTACGAAACAAGAGCTGTTATTTCTTAACAACCAAATTAAATGTGATATCCCAACGGGCTGGAGGAATCGCAGCCCAGGCGGCCAGGAATCCAGAAATCTCCAGAATCTCAGAACTGCATTGGGAAACATTATTTTTTTGTTTTGTGTTTTTTATGCAAGCTTTCTAACACACAAAGCACTACTTTGGAAATTCCCAGCGGCCGGAAGATTTGCAGCCCAGGCGCTAAGGAATCCAGATATCTCCAGAGCCCTAGAAATGTTTTGATATAGAAGAAGAAAAACAGAACATGCATTTGTTATAAACATCTTTTACAGCATTACCAACGCACAACCCAAACCATGAAATCCTGAGGGGCCAGAGGATCCGCAGACCAGGCGGCCAGGAATGGAGAAAAGCCAAGGCGGGGGAAACACGGAGGTGGAGGAGAAGTGAGGGCCGAAGGGGAGGAGGGTGATGTAGGGGGGAGGACAGCGAGGGTCGAGGCGGCAGAGAACGACGAGGGGGAGGGGTCGACCGTGCTCCCCCCCAATGTCTGGTGCGTGCTTGTGGTCGCCCGTGCGCCCCCCACCCCCCCCCCCGGCCCTCTTCAAGCGAATACTAGCGCGCAAATTCCTTTCAACGTGCGTGACTTCTGCAAATCAGGTCGTTTCCGGCTTGCTGCAGGTTCAGGCTCCCTCCCCGTCCGTGCAAGCAAGCTTGCCGCAGTCCAAAATTACTCACTGCGTGGAGCTCCCCAAATGTGCATCTATTGTTTTATGTCATGTCATCGTGAGCGTCTGTTCATGAGCGCTTGACTAGAATAGCGCGTCCACGTGGGCGACAAGGCCGACGAAGACGAGCGAATCCTAATGCGAGTGAGTGAATATGAGTCATGCTGAAACCAGCGCCCCGCCTGAGACATCCTCAAAAGCTGCTCTGAAAGCCAAGGATACTGGGCATGAAAGCCAGCAAACCGCCTCAGACATCCCCACAAACTGGCCGCGAACGGGCCCATGAGAACACCCCTGGCGGCTCCCCGTAGGGGTGCTGAACCAGCGCTCCGCCTGAGACATCCTCACAATCTGCTCTGTCAGCAAAAAGATGTTGGGCATGAAAGCCAGCAAACCGCCTGAGACATCCCCACAAACTGGCCGCGAACGGGCCCGTGAGAAAACCCCTGGCGGCTCTCCTTAGGGGTGCTGAAACCAGCGCCCCGCCTGAGACATCCTCACAATCTGCTCTGAAAGCAAAGGATGTTGGGCATGAAAACCAGCAAACCGCCTCAGACATCCCCACAAACTGGCCGCGAACGGGCCCGTGAGAACACCCCTGGCGGCTCCCCGTAGGGGTGCTGAAACCAGCGCCCCGCCTGAGACATCCTCACAATCTGCTATGAAAGCCAGGGAAGTTGGGCATGAAAACGAGCAAACCGCCAGAGACATCCCCACAAACTGGCCGCGAACGGGTCCGTGAGAACACCCCTGGCGGCTCCCCGTAGGGGTGCTGAAACCAGCGCCCCGCCTGAGACATCCTTACAATCTGCTCTGAAAGCAAAGGATGTTGGGAATGAAAACGAGCAAACCGCCTGAGACATCCCCACAAACTGGCCGCGAACGAGCCCGTGAGAACACCCCTGGCGGCTCCCCGTAGGGGTGCTGAAGCCAGCGCTCTGCCTGAGACATCCTCACAATCTGCTCTGACAGCAAAGGATGTTGGGCATGAAAACGAACAAACCGCCTGAGATGGGAGGGTGAAGTATATCCGATAAGGCGTCTCGCTGGAACTATGCAAGAATGCACGCGCCACGTTCATGCGGATCTGCAATTTCCAAGGTGCCAGCGCGGGCAGGCTGTCTACGGCAGGGCGAGGTAGGACGAAAAAGAAACGCGCTGCACTGCGCACGGGATCCTACAGATACGTCAGGAAAAGCAGCGGGGCACGGCAACCCGCGTGAAGCGGCTCTGAAAAGACGGGCGGGCCCTGACAGCACGGGCCGGAAAACCGCCCTCAAAGTATCCACCAATAAGGCGCGAAACTTGCCCCGGCGGATTGGTGTATATATGATGGCCAAATGTTGCAAGGAAACCACACCAGAAGAGTATACACCAATCGAAAACGCATAGAAAAATATCCGCCAATCCCCAAAAAACGCCAGAATCGACAGAGACTTTCGCCTGGAGGAGGGGGGGCAGGACCGCGGGCACCAATGCTGATACTAGTGGGGAAACAACTTGCGAGAATCGGAGAAGAGGGGGGGTGACGACAGCGTCGCAGAAACACTCTGCACCAACGTCGCGACAGTGGAACACTATGCCACACCGCACACCTGGGCTGCAACTCGGCACCCCCTGTAAGCACCCAAAAATCACAATGGTCAGCCGAATGCATCACCTGCTACATTGCGTGCTCCGATGAAACATCCCCACAAACTGGCCGCGAACGGGCCCGTGAAAACACCCCTGGCGGCTCCCCTTAAAGGTGCTGAAACCAGCGCCCCGCCTGAGACATCCTCACAATCTGCTCTGAAAACAAAGGATGTTGGGCATGGAAACCAGCAAACCATCCCCACAAACTGGCCGCGAACGGGCCCGTGAAAACACCCCTGGCGGCTCCCCTTAGGGGTGCTGAAATCAGCGCCCCGCCTGAGACATCCTCACAATCTGCTTTGAACGCAAAGGATCTTGGGCATGAAAACCAACAAACCGCTTGAGACATTTCCGCAAATTGGCCGCGACCGGGTTAGTGAGAACACCCCTGGCGGCTCCCCTCAGGGGTGCTGAAACCAGCGCCCCGCCTGAGACATCCTCACAATCTGCTCTGAAAGCAAAGGATGTTGGGCATGAAAACGAGCAAACCGCCTGAGACATCCCCACAAACTGGCCGCGAACGGGCCCGTGAAAACACCCCTGGCGGCTCCCCTTAGGGGTGCTGAAATCAGCGCCCCGCCTGAGACATCCTCACAATCTGCTTGAAAGCAAAGGATGTTGGGCATGAAAACGAGCAAACCGCCTGAGACATCCCCACAAACTGGCCGCGAACGGGCCCGTGAGAACACCCCTGGCGGCTCCCCGTAGGGGTGCTGAAACCAGCGCCCCGCCTGAGACATCCTCACAATCTGCTCTGTCAGCAAAAAGATGTTGGGCATGAAAACCAGCAAACCGCCCGAGACATCCCCACAAACTGGCCGCGAACGGGCCCGTGATACACCCCATGGCGGCTCCCCGTAGGGGTGCTGAAGCCAGCGCCCCGCCTGAGACATCCTCAGAATCTGCCGTGTGTTGAGTAACTCAGACTATGAGGAGGTCTGAGTATGTGTAGGTCGGAGTAGGAGTAAGTCTGTGTATGAATACATCTGGGTATGAGTAAGTCTGAGCATGAGTAAGTCTGAGCATGAGTAAGTCTGTGTAGGTGTACGTCTGGGTATGAGTAAGTCGGAGTATGATTAGGTCTGAGTATGAGTATGTCTGAGTATGAGTAAGCCTGTGTATGAGTAAGTCTGTGTATGAGTAGGTCTGGGTATGGGCACGTCTGTGTACGAGTGAGTCTGTGCCTGAGCAAGTCCGTGTTCTGGGCGTGTTCTTGTCCTCTGGGGTCGACGGCGTCCAAGAAATAACAAGAACCCCCTCTTAGGATATGGGGAGCAACCGGCTCTTGCACAGTCGAGGCTTACGTTCCCCTGGTCCTCCACCTCCTCCGCGGACATCGCGGCGGGGACCGCGGAGCTGGCGCGGCAGGCGGGCGGCGCGCGTGCCCCTGGCACTCCTGTGGAGCGTGGCCTTGAGCCGAGGGGGGGCTGCGGGGTGGCGGGGTGCGGGGAGGGGGAGAGGAACAGGGCGACGAGATAGCCGCAGCACCCCGCAACTGCGGGTGAGAGTGAGGGGGCGGGCGCGGGCGACGCGGGCGTCGAGCCGGCGGACCTCGTGGCCCTCACCTTCACTGTCGATGGCGCCCTCCTCCTCCTCCTCCTCCTCCTCCTCCTCCTCCTCCTCCTCCTCCTCCTCCTGCTCCTCCTCCTCCTCCTCTTTTTCGTGCCCCTCCCACCCCTCCAGGGAGGCCCCGCCAGAGCGAGGAGGGCATCGGCACACCATATTATTTATCGAGTTTCGTGCCCCTCCCTCGTCCGCGTCTTCGTCCTCATCGTCGTCGTCGTCGTCGTCGTCGTCGTCGTCGTCGTCGTCGTCCGCCTCCTCCGTTCTTGGCTTGTTCAGTGAACGTAGTTTGGGTCGCGGATGGGTCGCGGGCTCTCCACCTCCACCTGGAAGAAATTCAAAAACAGCCCGCCGCAGGCGCCGAAAATTTTCATTTGTACACTGAACACGGATTGGGTCCTAGGTTCTCCACCTGGAACGAATGCAAAAGAAACCCGCCGCAGGCGCCGAAATTTTGGCTTGTTCAGTGAACGTAGTTTGGGTCGCGGGTGAGTCGCGGGCTCTCCACCTCCACCTGGAAGGAATTCAAAAACAGCCCGCCGCAGGCGCGGAAAATTTTCTTTTGTACACTGAACGCGGTTTGGGTCGCGGGTGGGTCGCAGGTTCTCCACCTGGAGCGAATGCAAAAGAAGCCCGCCGCAGGCGTCGAAAAATTTTGGGTGGGTCGCTGGGTGGGTCGCGGGTGGGTCGCGGGTGGGTCGCTGGTGGGTCGCGGGCGGGTCGCCGGGGGGATCGCGGGGTGGGTCGCGGGCGGGTCGCGGGGTGGGTCGCGGGGTGGGTCGCGGGTGGGTCGCGGGTGGGTCGCGGGGTGGGTCGCGGGTGGGTCGCGGGGCGGGTCGCGGGTGGGCTGACGACAACAACAAACAACAAACAACAAACAACAAACAACAGTCAACAAACAGCAGACAACAAACAACACACACACAACAACAACAACAACAACAACAACAACAACAACAACAACAACAACAACAACAACACCACCAACAACAACAACAACAACCTCAACAACAACAACAACAAGCAGCAGCAACAACAACAACGACAACAACAGCAGCAGCAGCAGCAACAGCATCATCATCATCATCATCATCATCATCATCATCATCATCATCAACATCAACATCAACATCAACAACAACAACAACAACAAAAATCCGCCTGGCGGAATTCCACTTCAGCCACGCACCCAGGGACAGTGAATGACCGTTCGGCTCGGCCCCCTCACTCTGATATACATATCCACTGGCCCAGGCCTGGTCCATCCTGGGCCCAAGAACGATGTATACGCCCTCCTGGCTTGGCCAGGGAGGCAGACACACACCGCTCGTGGGCCTAGGATGGGCCAGGCCTTGGGCAGAGGATATGTACAGGTCTCGTTGCCTTGAGGAACGTAGGGCTTGAAAGCGGGCTCGGGCTCCTCTGGTGCGGCCGCCCAGCCGTCCTCTGTTTCCTGAGCGGCAGGCGACCGCGAGATGGTCGGAGATTGGCCCTCTAACCGCCTGGAGGAGGAACTGGGAAATTCTGTACACACAAATCGATTCGTACAGAATTCGCCCCTCCCGCTTTTTCGGGCTCTGCGATCGTGTGCCCTGCTGCTTGTAAGTTCTTCAGGTGGCCACGATCGAACCTGTCCACATGACAGTCTCTAGGGGGATGGGAAGGGAAACAAATGTGAAGGGGAACGTTGGGGGGGCTGGTTCAGGAGGAAAAACATCGAGCTGAAATCGGCGATGTATAGCCGACAGATCCGCAGTGGGCCCCCACCTTCCTGGGATGGGTGGGCTATCAGTTTCCTAATGACGCTCAATAGGCGGTTGGGGATCGATGCATCTCCCCCTGAGTCTATCCCCCCTTGACGTTGCCCCAGAATGGGAAGGGAAATTGGTGGTTGGAGAGCGACGGTGAGATGAAGGGGTGTTGCGAGCGGAGGGGAGGGGTGCTGAGCGGAAGTGCGAGCGCGGGCGCCCTGGAGGAAGGGCACGGGGGAGCGGGCAGCAACTCAGGTAGTGTCTGCACCAGCGTCGAGGAGGGGCGAGCCCCATCTCTAGGAATTTCTCAGCCTCGGATCTGGCAACACCCAGACTGGAGCGCACCCCGACGCTTCATCGCCCTGCAGCTCTGCCCCCGCTGGCAAGCGCAAAACCAAGGTGGGGCAAACACCGCGGCCTGGAGGCGCGACCCGACACGCTTTTGGGGATAATAGTGGCTGCGCACAGCTCATGCTCGGGACCAGGGCTGCGAGGTCACAACGGATCTTCGATCTTCCCTGGAGCCGGATAAACATCACATCAACACGCATTCCAGACGATGCGGAGCCTCGAGAACAGATACTGCGTCTGAGCCCTGCCCTGGCACGGACCGTAAGGACGGAAAGCGTGCACCTATTCACGTTTCCCTCTCTCTCTCTCTTTCTCACTGATAATTCTCCCTACCCGAACCCCCCACCCACACACACACACACCCAAACACACGCACACACACACACACACACACACACACCCACGCTCACACACACAGGCCGCACACGCACACACGAACACGCACACGCCCACGCCCACGCCCACGCCCACGCCCACGCCCACGTCCCCCCCCCCCCACAACACACACACACACACACACACACACACACACACACACACACACACACACACGCGCGCGCGCGCACCTGTACACGCACATACGCACGCACACGCACACGCACACGCACACGCACACGCACACGCACCACCTCCTGCTCCTCCTGCCCATCTGGGTCCCCGTCATCGTCTTGTTCCTCCCCTCTTCTCACTTCCCTTATCGCAAACGCAGAACCTCCGAGCGCTTCCATCGCACTTTTCTTCCGCGTTCTCGTCCCCCATCCCTCTGGACCGCATTATCGTCCTTCTCCCCATGAAGCCTCATCATTCCTTTCCTGACCCGATCTTGCCCTCGTCCTCCTCCTCATCCCCTACTCCACATCCTCCTCCTCCTCCTGGGGCAACGTCACACGGATTATCATCATCAGTACCACATTGTTCCACTTCCTCCTCGTCTGCATCAGTCTCTTCCCTCTCCGACATCGAATCCTTGACCTCCTCGTCTTCCTCCTCCTCCTCCTCCTCCTCCTCCTCCTCCTCCTCCTCCCTGCCGCCTTGCTTGCGCATGCGAAACACCTGCGCCCAGCTTCCCCCAAAGGACACAACGTTGTTGTCCTCATCGCTCTCGTCCGACTCCTCTTCGCTGCTCCCCTCGTGCTCACTGCCCAAATGCCCATATCATTCCCCTTCCCCTCCACATCCTCTGACTCCTCATGCCAATCCACCTCCCGCATCCTCATCACCCATTATTTCCACCATTCTTGTAATGAATTCCGCCCCCCTTTCTCCCCCACCTCCTCCGCACTCCCCTCCGCCTCGCCCACCGCATACTATCCTACTCCCTCCGTCCCTCTCTCCCGCCATCCTCCTCCGACATCGACGACGACAATGCCGCCGGCGACATCGACGGCGACGACGCCGGCGACCGCGCTGCCAGCACATCGCCCTTGGGTTGAAGGCGGTGTTGACGTCGTGTCCACGTGTGCGGACCTGGGCGCGACGGAGGGGTCGCGAGGAGAGGGTGTGCTGTCTCTCTGGGAAAGGCGGGGGTTGCGAGCGAGAAAACGGAGGAGGCAGGAGGCAGGAGGAGTGATAGAGAGAGAGGGGGCAACAAAAAACACTGAGAGAGAGAGAGAGAGAGAGAGAGAGACCAACACGAAAAGCAGTATCAGGATATATCAAGTGGCGCACCAAAAGGGCGTGGGTCAGGGCCTGTGAACGAACCTCATCCCACCCCTTTCCAAGGTCGGCTGAGCTGCACATGGCCCGAGAAGCTGGTCACTGTCGCCTGAGCTGCTGGCGCCCCCGGCCCAGGGGGACGCAGGAGGCTTCACCGCCCCGTCTCCAAAGGGGCGAAAACAAGCGGCAACGACGGCCAAGCACGCCGCCTCCTGAGCATGCTGCTGGCTCAGGCGGACAGCCCTCGCGACCGCGTCTGCTGCTGGACTGCTGGTGGCTGCGTCCAGGACGAACGGCATGGTGTCAGCCACGTCCTGAGGGGCGCGTGCGGCTGAAATGGGCAGGTATTCGTCGACAGGTGAGAGAGGCCACCCAAGCCTCCTATTCCGCCCTGGCCAGGCGCTCCACGGGGGAGCGCCGCAACGTCAGCTGAGCACGCGTCGCGCACCAAAGCCCCGAGCCCCTTGGCTCTAGGGAGCTCCGCGACGGTCGGTCTTCACAAGGACAAGGCTCTCTTCGCCTTTTGCGTGTGAAGGCGGTGAGGCGGCGAGGGTCCGGACTGGCCACCTTACCACAAAAACAAAAGACAAGGCTCTCTCCCACCAGCGGGCGTCGGGCTAGGCACTGGCATAACAATCTCGTTGGGAGCTGGCGCCCGCTTCCTGGGAGCGCCCTAGGTTGGGTTGCTGCAAGGGCGGTGGCGTTGCCCGCCACCTCGCCACAACTGGCGCACCTGCACCTGCAGCCACAAAGCTCGTAGTCATGCTTCCTGGTCCCGAAGGCCCGCCAGAGCCTACAAGGCCTCTTCGGCTTGGCCGTCGAGGGTCGCTCGCGGTCCGCGGGTCCGCCGCCGAGGGGGTCAGCTAACGCTCTGCGACCGATGCGTCTGATCAAATCACGCTGGGCATCGCGCGCGTCCACGGGGGGGGCCGCGGCTCTGGCGAGAGCCTGCGCCAACGCATTGTGGGCAGCTGCGCCACCCCACGGGTCGGCACAGGCACCGCCGATGGTTAGGAACAGTTTGCGCGGGTCACGCCCAAGACCTGCGTCATCCTCGCCGTGCGAGGGTACCCACAAAACATCGACGTCCTGCCTTCGATGGGCGGCGGCGATCCGGATTCTCTGCCAGAGTTCGCCCCCTGTCTCAGGGCGGCCCTGCCGACGCGAGTCGCAGGGTGGGAAGTGGTCGGTGACAAGCAGGAAAAGCCTGCACCAAGCTCGTCGGCGAGGGCGAGCGCAGTGAGCTCCGACCCCAGGGTGGTTTGTAAAAGGGTTTTCCAGGCCTGTGAATGCGCAGCCCCATGGCGCCCGCCAGCTCTGGTGGCGCCCGAGGGCGACGACAGCTGCCCCCACTTTGCGGCGTCGGGGGTCAGCGCTGCGTTGACACCCCGAGACGCCTCCGAAGAGGGTGAGCATGCAGTCCCCCCTTCCGATGTTCGAACAGACAAAGCACGAGCCCGCTCTCGAGGCAATTCCTTGGAGTCAGTAGGCAGGCCGGCACGCCGCGCTGGCAAGCGCGGAGGGCACCGGGGAGTCAAAGCCCAAGTGGCCCTCGTGGTCACGAAAGTACGGGAACAGCTAGACTTGATGCATGAGGGTTTCCTCTGCCGCCCCGCGCCGCCGGCAAGTGGCGTCGACCTGGCAGCCCGCGCCGGGCAGCCTGCATCTCGGACGTACACTGCCCGCCAGCGACTTCGCAATTGTCGAGGGCCCAGAGGCCGCGCTGCCCACGAGACATAAATTCCGTCATTTCGCGTGTGATGGTGGTCGCGTCGGTTTTCCTCGGCCTGGGCAATCGCCGCGAGCGTTCTTGGCCGCCGCCCGCCGCGGGCCCCCCTCGATGGCGGGCGCGAACTCGTGGACAAAACTGGCCGGGCCTACCGGCTTCCCCCAGGTCACGCAGTCGCCCGCGCCGCAATATGGGGAGACCCAGGCACGCTCGCAGGCCTTGCCCCGCATGGCCTTCCGCGGCCGAGTCGCGCGGGAGCGAGCGGTGCCGCCCCGCGTCGGCATGGGCAACTAGGACTGAGCTGATGGGCCGAGCCACTCCACCGCGATCTGCTCGCCCAACTCGATCGCGGGGTCCGCGTCGCCCGCCGCCGTCGCCGGGAGAGTTGTCGCGAGGCCCCTGCCGAGTGCCGCGGTGCCCATCGCCTGCTCCGCCCCCCTTCTTAGCTGCAATGCAGCGGAGCGCGCTGGCCCCATAGTCCGGCGCCAATGTCGCGCGCGCCGCGGCCGCAAAACCGTCGCCCGCAGTCCTCGTGCTAGCTTGGAGAGGGAGGCGCGCGCGCGCGCCTTGCCGACCACGCGGCCAGCCCTTGTCGCGGCACTCTTGGCTCTCTGCTTGGCCCCGGCGGCGACCAGACGTTGCGAAGGCCGCCGTGGCGCTGCCGAAGTCCGCTCCGCGGCGGGCCATCTCAGCCCGATGGCCCCACGACCCATGTTTTACCTCGGTGGATAGGGCGACCCCGGAGCCAGGGGGAGACCCGCATCTCTGCCGCAAAGGTGGGCGGCCACCCTCGCGAGCTCGCGGGCGGCCCTGCTCTCGGGGCCTTCGCTCCTCGCCGCCGCGTCGTCCGCGAACTTCCTGAGGCCCGCGCGCTTCTAATCAAATGTTGTAAGTCCTTGAGAGGAACGCGCAGGGGCCGCCTTGCCCCCGCGCGGGGCCGGCTGGCTTGACGAGCCCGCTGAACGGGCCGCGCGCGCGGAGGAACCCCAGGGCGATGGGGGGGCTCCACCTCGAGCACCACCACGACCGCGGGGGGCCCTTGGTCGACGGCCGCGGCGACCAACCCCCATGAATTGACGCCGTTGTTGACTAGAGCGAAAAGAAAGACACCGCGTCCACGGGGAACGTCGCGCGCGCGAAGCCGAGACCCACCTCGCGCGCGCTTGGTCGAGTAGCGCTCTGAGGCGGCCCCGAGCGCGCCGGGGCCCCCGGCGGCGGCGCCCCGGAACTCCCCCAGTCACCTCGGCCACTGGATCCGCGATGGAGGCTCGCAGCTCCCGCCGGATCTCAGGCGGGGCGGGCCGCCCGCCTAAGGCCCGCCTGCACGCGGCTGGCGCTGGGGCGAGCGCCCCAGCGGCCCGATGACCTCGATCTCCGGATAGAGCTCGGCCGAGCCTGGGATTCCGCAGCGCGGGGGCCGACGGGCGCCCGCGGCTCCGACGTCGTCGGCCCATGGCTTGCCCAGGGCCAGCTGCCCCCGCCGCCGCCTTGACATTGGCCCCGTCGGCGGCCGGCAACGGGCGCCAAGGGCCCGAGAGCGCGCCCAAGAAGACAGGCCCGGCAGAGCTCGTCCTCGGCGCAGCCGGGAGCTGATGGCAAGTCGCCATAAGTTACAGAGTCTCGTCGAATCTCGGGGGCTGCCTATCGACCCCATCTGTCCCCCGCGGCGGCGCATCGCGCCTGGTGCCGCGAAAGTCGCATCGTTGCATGAGGAGCGCCCTGCGGCGCCAATTAATTGGAACACGTCGCGCGCTCTTGGTCAAGGGTCTCCTGGCTGGAAAGAACGCGCCCGCCAGCGGTGCGCGGCGCGAACTCGATTGGTTCACGCATTTCATCTGTCGACGCGCGGCCCCGCAGCCACTGGGAGTGCAGCTGCTGCGATTCATAATGAGGGACTTCCAAGAAGTCGAGTCAACCTGGTCTTAGACGGCTCGACTGCATCACTGCCTCCCTGTACAACGCGATGTAGTTGTTCTGCTCCTCCTCCTGGTGCTACATGCCGCTGCCGCGCAGCGTGTCGAGGGCCGCTGAGAGGCGATCCTTTTTTTTTTTCCTGGAGGGGGTCCTCGCGCGGGTTGGAGTTCAGCTCCTTGACGGCCCAAGCCTCTCGGGCGCGACAGAAATCCGCGCCCTTGCCCAGGCGGGGTGGCGTGGGGCGGGGGGGGCGACGCGCCGCCGCCAACGGCGGCTGCGCAAGTGCAGAAGCGACGGCCCATGGAACATTACAGGACGCTGTTCTCTCGGGGCATCCACTGGCACCGAAGGCGCGCGCGTTCCAATCGGCGGAGTGGCCGACCACGCATTGGTCGCTCTCGGGATAGAGTAGCCCATTCGGAGGTGCGCCCACGAAGGCGCGCAATCAAGCGTTGGGGGCTCGACGCGCACAATGTGTTCTGGGTGTCCTGGGCGGGCGCCGCTGCAATCCCGCGCTCGCCCCAATCGCCCGGGGCCCCGAACGCCGAGCGCTGTCGCCAGGGGCTGCTCCCTGGAAAACCCGCCTGGCGTCACCCCAGCTAGGTCCGGGTACGTGTAGGGCGGCGCAGTCGCCGACGCGCGTGGATGGTGCCCCCGGACACGTACCCGTACCTAGTCGAGGTGGCGCATGGTCGAAGTCGCTCTCGGGCGCGCGCGCGGCCCCCGAGAGCGCCCCCGAACGCGGCCGCAGCGGCCCCCGGGGGACCGCGACATTGCAACGACGCTCCTGCGGGCAGGCCCAAACGCAACGGAGTGGTGGTGCCCGTCCCCAAATGGGACAGGCACCACCACCCCCGATGCCCCCGAACGTCCCTGGCGCAAGCCAAGGCACGTCGCTGCAATCAAACAACCAGCCGTTCAGCGCGTCGTTGCGCCCTGACGCGCGGACGCTGAAACAGCGCGCGCGAGGCAGGCGGATCGGGCGCAGTGCCGAGCGCCCAATCCAGCAGACGGCCGTTTTCACCCAGGCCGACCCCGGGCAAGGGAAAACCGCTGCGCGACTTCACCAGGCGACGCACCCCGAGAGAAAAGCGCGCGAAGTCGACCTGGAGTACGAGTTGTTTCCCAGAAAGCACAACAGTTACTGCTAGCCCCGCCGCGCCAGCAC